CCTTCCCTCCCTTCTTCCTTCCTTCTCTCTCTCCCTTTTCTTTCTTTTTTCCTTCCCTTCTTTCTTTCTCTTTTCCTGTTTTTATCTTTCTCTTCCCTTCATTCCTTCACCCCTTCCTACCTTCCTTCTCCTTCTTTCTTTGCTTCCTTTCCCTTTTTTCCTTCCTTCCTTTCTTCCTTCCTTCCCTCCCTTCTTACTTCCTTGTCTCTCTCCCTTTTCTTTCTTTCTTTTTTCTTTCTTCCTTTTCTTCCCTTCTTTCTTTCTCTCTTCCTGTTTTTTATCTTTGTCTTTCCTTCCTTCATCCCTTCCTACCTTCTTTCTCCTTTTTTCCTTCCTTTCCTCCCTCCTTCCTTCCTTGACTCTTCCTTTTCTTCCTTCCTTCCTTCTTTCCTTTCTTCCCTTTCTTCCTGTTTTTTACCTTTCTCTTTCCTTCCTTCATCCCTTCCTACCATCTCCTTCTTTCCTTCCTTTCCCTCCTTTTTCCGTCTCTCCCTCCTTCCTTCTTTGGGTTGCTTCTTATATTCTTTGTAAAACTTTTCATAAAAATGATTTATAAAAGACACAAGAGGTGAGATACTCTCTTTCGAAAAAGCAGGTGTTTTTGAAACAATGTCAAGACAGATTTGGTGAGATTGCTCTTTCTTTAAAAAAAAAAAGTGCCCCAGAAGGTCCCCAAAAAACCTTTTTCCAGGACCCCAATTTTTTTTTTAAAAAAAGAGAATCTCTCCATATTCACCCTCCCCCCAAGCACACTAAGCCCATTCGCAGCCCCCTCCCCAGTTTCTCCTCTACTCCGGTTTCATCTCTTTCTATTTCAATCGAAGCTCAAAAGGGCAGCCATTTCATTTTTTTAAAAGTCTCTTTGAAGACTTTTTTTTTTTTTTTTGAAAGCCCGAAATAATAAGATGGAGAGAAATGGGATCGAACCAGGGCTAAAAATGGAATGTCTCCATTCCAAAGAGGACTCTCAGATGGCAAAATGAACAATAAAACACGGCAACAGCCAAAAAAACAACAACACAAATTGTGCTGCGTGATCCACTCATAATTTCTTTGGAGGTTTTTGCTATAAAGCTTCGACAAAATACAATTGGTCCTCAACTTACCACAGTGCATTTAATGACCGTTTGAAGTTGCAGCACTGGCAAAAAAAAAAAAAGTGACTTATAATTCATAGAGTAACAGAGTTGGAAGGGACCTTGGAGGTCTTCTAGTCCAACCCCTATGATTATAGTTATTTATTCTATTACTTACATTCCTACCCTGTTTCTCCAACAATACGGCCTCCCCCAATAGGAAGTCCCAGCATGTTTTATAGGCATGAAATGAAATTAAGCTCCTCCCCCCCAAATTAAGGCCTATATTAAAACATGCAAAATGGGGGGGGGAATGGCGGAGGGGATTGCCGTTAGGAAGTACTTTTGTTGCACACCCGGATATGGTGCTGCCTGCGTTGACCCCGATACGAAGTGCCCCACCAACGCCGAGGTCAACATCCAAGCCGTTGCCGCCCGCCCGCCCAAAGATGCAAGGGGGGGGGAATTAAGTCACCCCCGAAAAGACAGCCTAGCCATTTTTTCGGGGCTCATAAAAAAAAAAAAAACCCAGCCTTATTATATGAGAAACACGATATTACTATTAATCTTCTCATAACTCTTTATTGCCCATCTCCTTCCACTTGTGACTGTGTGACTGTGACTTTGTCACTTGTATCCTTACGGTTTATATGGACTGTTTCCTAGTATGATTTGATTGCTTATTGCATCCTATGACCATCATTAAGTGTTGCACCGTATGATTCTCGACTCTTGACAAATGTATCTTTTCTTTTATGTGCACTGAGAGCATTTATTTGCACCAAAGACAAATTCCTTGTGTGTCCAATCACACCTGGCCAATAAAGAATTCTATCCTATCCTATCCTATCCTATCCTATCCTATCCTATCCTATCCTATCCTATCCTATCCTATCCTATTCTATCCCTATTCCTATTCCTATTCCTATTCTATTCTATTCTGTTTTGTTCTATTCCATTCCATTCCATTCCATTCCATTCCATTCCATTCCATTCCATTCCATTCTATTCTATTCTATTCTATTCTATTCTATTCTATTCTATTCTTATTGCACTCTATGACTATTATTAAGTGTTGCACCTGATGACTCTTGACAAATGTATCTTTTATTTTATGTATACTGAGAGCATTTGCACCAAGACACAATCACATGTAGCCAATAAAGAATTCTATGCTATGCTGCTATGCTATTCTATTCTATTCTATTCTATTCTATTCTATTCTATTCTATTCTAATTCTCTTCTCTTCTCTTCTTTATTCTGATATTCTGTCCTGTTCTGTTCTGTTCTATGCTGCAACCCAGTCCCGTCCTTACAACCTTTGGGACGCGTCCTTCACATGCCTCCTCCTTCCAGCATCCTTCTCCCCACCAACCCCCCGCATCACTCCGGGCGCAGCCACGCGACTTGCTCCTCGCGTCGCCTCTCCCCCCCCCCCCCCCCCCCCTGGGGGAGATTCCCCTGGACACGCTCCTCCGACAGCGTGGGGAGAAGCGCCGCCCCCCCCGCCCCCCCCCCGCCGTCCAACGCCTCCCGCCTCCCCTCAAGAAGAGGCAGGCACGGAGAAAGCCTCTGAGAACGTGCAGAGAGCCGGAAGATCCCGGACGCCAAAGTCGGGGCTCCCTTCTGCCCACTCCGCTGAGCGACGCCCCCAAACTAGGGGCAGACAAGGCACAGAGCCTCTGAGAACGTGCAGAGAGCCGGACAGTGCCCGAAAGAGACAGAGAGAGCGCCTCTGAGAACGTGCAGAGGGCCGGAGGGTGCCAGGCAACAAAGCTTCGATTCACTCCGCCGTCCGACGCCCCGGGAAAAAAAAAAGGCAGGGAAAAGAGGGAGCCTCTGGGGACGTGCAGAAAGCCGAAGGATACGAGGCGCCGACGCCAGGGCAACATAGTCTACTCACCCCACCATCCGACGCCCCCAAACAAGAGGCAGGCAAGAAAGAGCGCCTCTGAGAACGTGCAGAGTGCCGGGCGCCAAACTCGGGGCGGGGCGGGTGTGTGTGTGTGTGACTCTCTTCTGCCCAGTCGGTCGAAGGACGCCCCGAAAGAAAAGGCAGCAAGAGCTCCCGAGAACGCGCAGAGAGCCGGAGGGAGCCCGAAAGAGGCAGAGAGAGCGCCTCTGAGAACGCGCAGAGAGCCGGAGGGAGCCAGGCGCCAAAGTGGAGGGGTCCCTTCCGCCCACTCCGCCGCCCCCAAACTAGAGGGCCGACAAGGCACAGAGCCTCTGAGAACGTGCAGAGAGCCGGAGGGAGCCAGGCGCCAAAGTGGAGGAGTCCCTTCCGCCCACTCCGCCGCCCCCAAACTACAGGGTCGACAAGGCACAGAGACTCTGAGAAGGTGCAGAGAGCCGGAGAGTGCCCGAAAGAGGCCGAGAGAGAAAGCGCCTCTGAGAACGTGCAGAGAGAGCAAGCGGGTCCCCAAACATCCAAGCGTCCCAGCCGGAGGAGAGAGAGGCAAGCAGAGGCGCGCGCCCCCGAAGGCCGCCCGCGCGCGCTCCCGCCCTCCCTCCCTCCCTGGAGCCGAGCCGGGGCAGCCTCTTCCTCGGCTCTCCCCGCCTCCCACCTGGGCCGTCCGGAGCAGCCTCCCCGCGCCCGGCCCAGACTTCCCTCCGGCTGCCGTCGAAAGCAGCGCTCTCCCCGGGCCAGGCGGCGGCGGCGGCGGCTCCGGAGCCTCCGAAGCAGCCGGCAGCCCTCCCGGGCGGCGCTGGCGGGGATGCCCAAGCGGGGCTAAGCATGGCCCGGCGCCCCCCTTCGCTGCTGCGCCTCCTCCTCCTCCTCCTCTTCCTCCTCTTCCTCCCTCCGCTGCTGCAGAGCCGGGGCTGCTCGCCTTGTTTCTGGTTCGCCACGCCGGACACGGTGCAGTGCCGCTTCGTGGTGCTGCAAGAGCCGCCGGCGGAGCTGCCGTCCGCGGTGCGCAACTTGACCGTGGTGGGCGCCAACCTGACCGTGCTGAGCCGGGCGGCCTTTGCGGGCGGCTGGGAGCCTCGGGGTTGGGCTCGACGACCCTTGCTCCACTTAACGTTGCTGGCGTTGCTCCGGAGCGGCATCGAAACGCTGGAAGAAGCGGCTTTCGCCGGGCTGCCGTCCTTGGCCGCGCTGGATTTAAGCCACAACCCGCTGCGCCGCGTCTCGCCCGGCGCTTTCCTCTTCTGCGCCCGCTTGCACCGGCTCGGCCTCAACGGGGCGCTGACGGACGGACGGACGGCCGAAGAAGTGCTGGGCTCGGCTCTGGCCAACCTCAGCCTTGCGCGGCTGGAGCTGGCCGGCAACGGGCTGCGCGCCCTGCCCGCCGGCTGGGCGCTGCCGGCTTCTTTGCAAGAGCTGGACGCGCGCAACAACTCGCTCCGGGCGCCGCGGCCCGACGGGCTGGCCGCGCCTCTGCTGCGCTTGCAGCTGGCGGGCAACCCCCTGACTTGCGACTGCCCCGCTCTGCGACCGCTGCTGCTCTGGCTGGGCAACGCCACGTGGCGGGCGCCGGATCGGAGGGAGCTGCGCTGCGCCGACCCTCCGCAGCTGCGGGACGCGCTGGTGCTGCGCCTCCGGCCCCGCCAGCTTCAGTGCCTGGAGGAAGGGGCGGCTTGGGAGCTGCTGGAGCCCGTCGGCGGGCCGGAGCCGAAGGAGCTGGAGACCGTCTCCTACGTCTTCCTGGGCATCGTGCTGGCATTGATCGGCTTGGTTTTCTTGATGGTGCTTTACCTGAATCGACGGGGCATTAAACGGTGGCTGAACAACCTGCGGGAAGCCTGCCGGGATCAGATGGAGGGGTACCAGTATCGCTACGAGCAGGACAGCGACCCCAGGCGGGCCAGCCCGGGGGGCCTCTGAAACCGGGCAGATCTGAAGGACAACTGGTGACCCCCCCCCCCGCCTCCTAAACTTGCCAGGGAGGTTGGCAGCACCCCAAGTTTTCTCTCTGGGGCAGCTGACACTGGCTGGATGAGATATTGAGGGGGGTCTTGGGTTGGAGCTCCAGGCTTTGGATGCCCTTGCGAGCTGCCCCGTATCCCGAGATGCCAACCCGGCGGTGGCATCTGGCAGCTAAGCAGGGTCAGAGCTGGTCAAAGCTTGGAGGGGAGAACTGGAGGCTAGAAGGGAGGGGGGGGAATCGACCTTATCTCGGAAGAAGGGACTGCAGAGATGTGGCTGCAGGACTGAGGCTGTGCCTTAAGTCTGTCTTAGATAACTAGCCTAATTGTTAACCGTGGCTAATCTGGAGAGCCTAAACGATCTTGGCTAGCAAGCTTAGATGAAAGGCAACCAGGAAGTTGTGGAAAAAATGGCCAGAAGCTTGAAGTCGGAAAGGACCGTTTCTGTATGATTTCCAAAGGGATGGATTGAATCCCAGAGAACTGAAAGCCACTTTTAAAAAGGCAGCTCAGTTCTTATGGATGCTCCACTCTTGAACCCAGGACTCTGGATTCGGCCGAGGTTCCTCGCTGCCCACTGAATAGGGGACAGTTGGTGCGAATTCCTCCCATCGCGGCCTGGCGCAGATTTTCCCGGAAAGCCAGCTTTGTGCCATGCCAGGGGGCTGCCTTCCGCTGAGACCTCACCCCTCCAAAGCCTCTCTCCCCCTCCCCCTTTAAGGCTCGCGGGGGGTGGGGGTGACAGATACCCAGAAAAAATGCCACGAACCGAAGCCATCTATTCTGCCAACGTAGCTGGCGGAGATTCCTTGCAATAATTTGGATACGGACGGCGGAGGATCCCGGGGTTGATTTTCCCGAAGGAATTAGGGGAAGGGGGATTGGATTCTTGGGAATGAATGAATTCCAGAGCCTGGATGAAACAAACCGGGGTCAGGAATTGTGAGGAAGGGGTTTCCACCGTCTTCCTGTCTGGAAAAATAATATGATCAAAGAAAGAGCGCTTTTTATTTTTCCCCCTCTCCAAATCTGTGGTTCTTTCCCCCACCCCAATTCCAATGGGTCTGTGCCAACTCCCCCATGCCAGCTATGGAAAGGGGGAGGGTATCCCCCATCTTCCCCTGCCCTTAATCAGCCCAGGCCTCTCCCCCCCCCTCTCCTCAGCAGCATGGGTTTCGGAGTCAGTGACTTTCCGCACGACTGTGAATTTTGAATGATTTCGGACCCAATTCTCACAGACTTTTGAAGCTTCAGGGAATGTTGCAATAGAACAGAAAATCCTTTTTCTTTTTTAATTAAAAAACAAAAACCAAAACACTTTTTGCTGTGTTTCCGATGATTTCAGAAACACACACACATCAAGAACAGATGCCATAATCCCTATGGGGGAAAACGTCTGGAAGGGAAGCCTGATGAATTTCCTCTGAGTAGGTCCATTCATACCCAATAATTGCTCCTTAGGGGAACCAGGTTTGCTGATTCCCGACGGATCTCTGCAGCCGTATAGAAAATCTCAGAAGTCGCTGGCTGCAGACGCTTCTTTCATCCTTACCTTGACCTCTGCAGCGTTATTAGTCAATCTTCAAATAGGATCTATACGCCAGGCCTTCCTAGATTTATTGCTGTTCCATATTAATTCTGATTTTTTTTTTAACTTGCTGAAGGAGAATGGTAAAGGACTGGGAGAGTCACCGTTGGGAAACTCAGGGGACCAAAGGCATCAGGGAACAAATTAAAATTGTAATAAACTTCAATTTTTCTTCCAAGGAACCTGAAATTCTCTGGCTCAACGTTGCTGTTTTTATCTGCACGCTGGATTTCAGTGGAAATTTACATGCTGTTTTGATTGCATCCAGCCTAAATTGCCTTTCCCGAAAATATTATCCTTCCCACTCCAGGTCCTCTTTCTGGTTTCACAGCCGTGACCAGGTGACCTTAAAAACAGAGGTCTCCAAACTTGGCTAATTTAAGACTTGTGGACTTCAACTCCCAGAATTCTCCCCAGCCAGCATCGCTTGCTCTCTTGTAATCCCTTCCTCTGCAATCTCTCTCCACTTTAGGTGGTTGAGAGAAAAAAAAGAAACAGACACGGCTGGCTGGGGAATTGTGGGAGTTGAAGTCCACAAGTCTTAAAGGGGCCAAGGTGGGAGACCCCTGACTTAGATGACCTTTCTGGTCTCTCCCAACTCTATCATTCCTGGCTGGCTGGGGAATTCTGGGAGTTGAAGTCCACAAGTCTTAAAGCGGCCAAGGT